ACATAGGTCCTATTTATTTCCGCAGTCTTATTCAAAGGTTGTGAGAGTGAACTGGTTCTCTCGTATTCTAATACGCACGGTTTTAATTGTCCAAATCCAAGTGTTGAAGAGACATTTCCTGAGGGCGGTTTTTGTGAAGACCCGCCAAGCTCACTAACGTGGCTTTTCTTAGAAACAGAAACGATAGACATTGAAGCTGAATACTACCAACTACAGCTGTAAAACTGAAATTATCTCATGTAAGGTCTGCCTGAAAAAAAAAAGAATTGGCTCCTAATCTCACTTTCTATATAATGTAAACAAAATGTGTCATGATGGCATCTGTTAAAAAAAGAAAAGAAAAAAGCATTGTTATTTTCAGGTGGAAAAATTCAGAATAAAGTGCTTTAGAATTGTACAGTAGGTGGTAGCCTATTCAGTCAAATGATTAATGATTCCAGCTTGTAAAATATCTTTTAATTTTCAAATAAGACTGTACTGCTAAAATATATCTTACTGACTAGTAGCATTTATTTCTGATATTTAAAGTCATATTTATTCATCTATTTCCCAGTATTTATAATCCTTCTTATTCCTAACATATTCTAGATAGGGTGCAACAAAATTAAAGTAGAGAAAATTGTAAAGCATACAAAATTAACATATCGTGATTTATGAGCATAACTGAAACCAGAATTTCTGTGACTTAGCAAGGCAGGTGTTAAGTGGTTAAGTGAGTCACATTCGATTTTACAACCTGTTTTGGCCACGGTTGTTAAGTGAATCACATGGTCATTAAGCAACTCCAACTTCCCTCACTGACTTTGCTTGTCTGAAGATGGCTGGGACAGTTGGAAATGGTGATCACATGACCCGAGGTCCTTGCAACAGTCATAAATACATGCTGGTTACCAAAGCACCCAGATTTTGATCACATGACCCATGGGGAAGCTGCTATGGTTGTACGTCACTTTTTTTCATTATTTTGCAGCTTCGATAACTAAATGAATGGGTGTCAACGGAAGACTGCTTACTACTGTAATATCTTTTTTAAAAAGTCAACAATAAAACTAAACAAACTACTGTAAACTAATTGCCAAATTCACAGTAGGGGAAGATTGTTTGGGTCTGCTTACAAAGTGCAGCAAGGACAGGAATCTCCCTTCTTCTAGGTGAGGATACTCCACGAAGTGAGGGCCTCTACTGAAAAAGTATATAGTGGTCCGAGTTGTAAATGGAACTTAAAAATCAAACTTCCAATCTGCTTTTCTTTAAAAATAATGTGAAAAACATTTTTGCCTCTTAAAACACAGTACTTTGGAATAGTGAATTCATTACAATATAGCAGCAAATTTTAAATTGATGAATTATGTGAAAGGGGGAGTTTCTGCAGGTGTTTTGATCAGGCTTATAAAACTCTCTTCTGTGCAATTATGAAAGTTGTACAAACCCCATCTTTTGATCCCAATCAACCTCTGTTACTTATATTATTTTTGAAAAGGTCTGAATGCTTGGTCCATTATCATAATTTTGGTATCAAATTATAATTCCTTACAATTCTTGCACACATTCACTGAATAAGGGGAAAAAAACCCATCTGACACTGTTTTCAAATTAAAGAAATCCTTCCTGAAGAGACTAAAAAAGTGTTTCTCAAAGTTAGCAACTTTAAGATGAGTGAACTTCAATTCTCAGAATTCCCCAGCCAGCATGCTGACTGGGGAATTCTGGGAGATGAAGTCCACACATCTTAGTTGGCAAGTTGGAAAACGACTGAACTAGAACAACGATGGGGACTTCTCAATTTCCGGATATTGCTAGCCTACAATTCCCACCTTTTGTAGGGAATATGGATGATGGCATTTGCAATCAAATTGCGCAAAAACATTTGGGAACCCTCAATTTTGCGAACCCGACATTAGAAGAAACAATCTTGTTTTTTTCTGCCAAGGCAAACTTTATAGTGTTTCTCGCATGCCAAGAAAAACTGCTTCAAAAGAGACCAATTAAAGAAGCGGCGGCCTACGGAAATCTAGAAACTCAATAAACAATCCCTCGAGTAAAGAAGAGGAAGACGCATTCAGAAGTGACCTTTTCGCGCGTTACTGCTTACCTGCCCTTCGACGTCAAACCAACAGACTATCATTTCAGCTGCACCTCCGACTCTCTTTTCGAATGCGCCGCGATGTTTGCTATTGGTTGAGAGGGTGGATGACGTCATACGCAGCTCCCGTAAGCAGGGAAGACCAGACTAGTCAAAGAATTACCTCTAGGGCGCTATAGCTACACCTCTGGTTCTGAAGCAAACACTTTCATTTCGCGATCAACCAAGACCAAAATGCTGTAGGATGGCTAAATGAATCGGGCTGAGCCTGATATTTCAGAGTTTGCTCTCTTTCCCATTTCGGTGGGAATAAAAACTTTGTCACTTTAAATGAACACTAATCCAGCATACTTTAAAATAAAATTTCGTTGCAATCAGCTCTCAAAAAAATACTTGCTTCAGGGTTGCGTTTCCATCTCGAGCTTTTCTTAATTTCTAAAGGTAAAACTAAATAAAATTGCTGCTTGTGCCCGAAATCTCTGTAATAAAAACCATTGATTTAGATCGTACATTAAGATGAAGCTGCAACTGTGAAACGGACCTCCCAAACTTTACTTCAGATGGTTGGATGTGTAGAATAACTAGCATATGGTCGAAGAGAAAACTATTGATTTTTTTAAATGTCCAAACGAATAGTTTGTGTGTGTGTGTGTTAATGGGATTAATAACAAATAATAAATTATTTGATGTACTTAAGAGTCCCTTGGAATATAAAATATTCCTAAAATATTTAGACTTCCTTAAATCAGTTGTGTGTGTGTATGTTTAAATTTCATTTCCTGATATTTTTACATTGTTATTTAAGTTGTACAAGTTGTTACTTAATTCCAGCTATAATTGGCTTCAGTTGGCCTTGTGATTGTATATTAGAGGCTAATAATTACATAACAGGATGGTGTCACCATTCAGGCACTCCCATCTAATGCCCAATTTTCAACAATTCAGCCTTCCCATTCTTTTTTCTATCAGCCCTCTAGAGGCCATTAAAAACAATCAGGACTTCCCAAAAACAATCAGGACTTCTGCTCTCACTATTTACCTGCCTAGATACCTTTGGACAAGCCCCCAAGGACTGAGAACCTGAGTCATTCTCCCTATACATAAAAAAAAGAATGATGTGTTAATTTTAGCATCTTTAACATCATCAGCAATCTCCATGTTAACGTATCCATAATAGATATTCCAGGATTGGTTGGAGACTTGCTATCCGCTTCTGATGCTTACATTCTAGCACCTCGTTGGAATTCATTCCTCCTACATCTCTTTTTGTCGCATTCACAGATTTCATACCAGCAATTGACTCCATTTTCTGAATTAAATTGTGGGAGAAGTTGGACACTTCTTCAACTGACCTGCATCTACTGCATTTAAGACATATGCTGCATGAAGATATGCCACTTAAAGTAAAATATAACCCCAGGGCCATTTCTATGTTCTACTAAAACTCAGATGTGCATCAAGCAAGGCTGCTTATTAGCCCCGATCCTATTTAACTTTCATATTAAGGCCATGGTGGGTCATCTCTATAACATGGTCTTTCACTCCCCCAAACTTGCTGAAAGACAAATTTCTATCTCGGCAGATGATGCAACAATACTTTCAAAAATGCCAAGTGGCCTTTAAAAAGCACTGATGACCCTAGCACAGTATTGCAAGGAAATTAGCTGGAACTCAGTTATTAGAAAATTAAATTATAGTATTTGCCCTGAAACCTAAGAACCACTTCTGGAGCCTAGATGGCCACAAGATTAATTAGGTTCCCAGTTTTGAAATACAGTCTATTCTGTTGGCAGTATGAAGACCCATGGGGACAATATTGCTGAAAATTCAGAGAAGTTAATTGTCACCTTTAAATACTTTAAAACACAAGGTAGCCACTAGGTACCTGCAGCTTTCAAATCTGAAGCCAAGTTACTAGTACATCTTTTCTGTGATAGCTATGTCCCTTCTCCAATTTTGCACCTCTAGAGCTTGTATAATTCAATTATCTAAGAGCATTTTAAAATATGTTGGCTAACAAAGATAAAATAAGTATTCTATATATTAATATCTAGGACTTTATCGAATTAAGCATAGTATTTGTTAATTGGAGGCAGTCTACTTGTCCTCCTGCATAAGCTCTGATGGCAGCTAAGCATAATATGATCAATCTTGACAGATACCATGTTAAATTGTGAATCCTGTTCAAAGTTTTCCAGCACTGGCAGATAGCATCAAAACCCGCTAATTTTTGTCTATGGTCAGTTATATTCTTTCCCAAGTCTTGAAGTTCACTAATCCAGTTTTCTTTCCACTGGGATTTTGCACCGAAGTTAGTATTGTACAACTGCTGTGCAGATATCCGGGGGGGGGGGGGGCTTCCTAGATTTAAGCCTTCCAATTGATAAGTATGGCATAGCAGAGTGCCCTCGATTTTAAAATGGAATTTGTAATTTAATATATAACTTCTTGGATTTTTTATAACCTTACAAAATCTCCATCTTATGTGCATCGTACTATTATGTTCTTTCTATATGTCCTTACTGCTGCTATCCATTTCTTTCATGCCATATGTTAAATAAACAAATAAATAAGTCTAAGAACAGCCTTTCAAATCCCTAAGTGTCTGCAAAGCCATCTTGCAACTAGATGAAAGTGGAGCCTTGAGTGTGGCTAGCCATAGTCAACTATTGTCTCAGGCTGTATTTCTAGACTGTAATAAAAATTGAGAGGACAAATTAAAAAGCCATGGTCTAAGTTAGCATAGACTTTTTTTCAGATTTGTCGATTCCCTTTTTCCACAGTAAGACTTTTTAGTTTTATAGGACAGTATGAATTTATTAAACAAAATCTAAATAAAAGATTAGATCACGGTAGAATAAAAAAATATTAACTCTTTATTTGAATAATTTTACTAAAAAGTAAAGCAAAAGAGGAAGCCATTTTTCTTCTAGAAATAAAAAAGTTATGACAATTAAAAACTCATACAGCTTTATAACATGGGTTTTATAGACATTTCATGTCAGTTGACAGTAGGTAGGGTAGGTAGGTAAATAGATATCATATCTTGAGAAGTCTATAATGTTTGATAGATGAAATGAAAGAGAAGAAAATAATGAATAACAACAAAGTGGACTCAGCTACAGCACATTGGAAGACCTGAGGGACAGGCTGGAACTGGTCTATCTATGTGTTCTGTAAGAGTTGACACCAATTTGATTGCACAATTCAATCAATGTATCTCAAGTTCAAGAATTGTATTTCTTTTTCCTTTTGAAATCCACTCTACCTCCACTGCAATCATTAATATTTATTCCAAGCTGTTTTATACTGAGGTAAATTGTTGGGTCACTCTCATCCAGCTTTTCCCAACTCAACTCAATTCCCCTCTATAGATTCATGCAAGCATATAAATATTTGCATTAAATAAAAAAATGTGCAGATATAATTCCCAGAATTCCTAGCCAACATGAATACTGCCGAAAACCTGAGGAATTAATATCCACCTATCTTGAAAGTACCCAGACTGGGAAGATCTGATCTAGCTCAATACTCACTACTGGCTGAAAGATCTGGTAGGTAGAAATCTCTTCTTGATCTGCCCGTTAATTAATGATGCCCAAAACTGAAGCTCACACTACTTGCATATTAAATTTGTATTCTGCTGAAGTTCTTCTATACACATGTATTACTGTGCAGCCAGGTAGCCAATGATCTTTTCATGTTTTAATTTCAAAACGAGATACTCAAAAGGTACAATTACTCATTCTAGAGATTTCTGACTACTGAGTTGAATAGATAACCATCCCAGATTCAAGATCTTTTTGCCCTTTTTCAATTTTGGATTCCCGTCCAGGCAAAAAATCTGACACACGTGAATTGAATTTATTTGCCCAATTAACTATCAGTCTGAACTAGGACTGGAAATAATTACTTGTAAGAAAACAAGATTAACCCCCCCTCATACAACATTTAATCTTTGCTAATAGGTACAGCTGAATAAATAATATATTTCAGAAGTATTTGACCAGTTGTTTGTCTCAACATCTTTTGAATTTGAACTTAAATGTACATTTTAAATAAGTTTAAGACTAGCACAGCCTTCATTTTAATCCATACTGAAGTTACTCTCTGTGCTTCTTACATTCTTTTGCTTTTCCATGCTATAAAACCAGCCACTTCAAGAAACAAATTCAGAATTGCTTATTTTGCACAAAGCATTTCAGTTCATCAGGCACATCTTAAATTAGTTCATGACTATTTAAATACCTTTATCCCTCAGATTAATCGCTACTAAATAATGCATATGTGGAATGCTGTAATATTTGATAACAGTGAATGAGATTTCCTGATTCCCCATTTCTCTACATAAATTGCACTAAACCCAGCCATTGAAAATACATATGTATTTTGCCATTTAACCTGAGATCTAAGCCCTTAATGAAATACTGTATAAAATGATCCAGGATAAGTCATTATCTTGGCACTCTTTATATCTCATAAGCATGGAGATGTATAAACTATCAGCTCTCACCAAAATTAAGCATCAGTTTAAATGAAAAAAAAATAAATTTAATACCTCGCTTAGCTCTCATTTGAATTAATGAGGCTACAAACTTATATTTTATTGAAGCACATCCATAGAAATGGATTGAAATTTTGCATATAAAACAAGTTAACATAAACAAATTATGTTTTTAAATTTAGCTTGTTACTTTTGAGAAGTACTTTTATCGTGTTTTCTAATAATGTCCATAAGATTGTCCCCAGTTACAAGATCATTCGGATATTCTTTGCTCCTCAGCTGTTCTTTCCGCTTTTGGTCATGTAAATATGGAGAATTTAATAACTGAGGTGGGAGAATGGTGCCAGTTGGTTTAACTCGCTTTACCACATCCCAGAAAAGTTTCTTGCTGTTATTATTAATAAATGTAATTGCAGTTCCATTGTGACCCAGCCGACCTGCTCTTCCAACCTAAAAAAGGAAAAGCAATGGTACTTATAATCAATGACAAATGTTATAGGTAACTGTACAGATAGTCCTGAACTTACAGCCACAAGATTTTTTTTTGGGGGGGGGGAGGACAGGATATGTAGAGTAATTGACACATCACAAAACAATGTTGCTAACTGCATTTTAATTAGTTTTAGTAAGGAAGTTATTTAAATGAATGTTCCCAAAAGTGCTTTTCAAAAAGCAACTGGAGTTTCTTAGTTTTTTTCTTGAAAACGTTTCACTTCTCATTCAAGAAATTTCTTGGATGAGGCACAAAATGTTTTCAAGAAAAAAAAAACAAAGAAAGTCCAGTTGCTTTTTGAAAAGCACCTTTGGGACAACTATAACCTGGATGATTAAGAATCTCCATAGACGTTTAAATGAATGCTAGTCTTGTTACCTGTTTCTTCAAAATGTGCTTGGAAAAATAAATTCATTGTTTAACCCTATAGCAGTGAGGGCAAACCTTTTAGAGACCGAGTGCCCCAAAACTGCCCCCCGTCACCGCTCCACTGTGCCCACTGGGCCACCCACCACCTCCATGGCCCACCACAGATCACCCAGGTAGCCCAGCAGCGCCATGGTGGCCATGCCCTCTGTCTGTGCCCCACAGCATCATCTGGACGCGACGGGGCGCAAGGGCAGAGTCTTGTCTCTGCTGCCCGGCTATCATGTCTTTGGCTGTGCTGCTTTATGTGGGCCATGCCTGGGGGCGACTCTTCTCCAGTGGGCTTCTGGTGAGGAGGGGGCCGTGGGAGGAGGCGGGGCTGGGGCGACAGTGCATGTGCCCACAGAGAGGGCTCCAAGTGCCGCCTCTGGCACGCGTGCCATAGGTTTGCCACCACTGCCCTATAGCATAACACAGAATGTACCTCTTTAGGCACTGTTTATAATGTGTAACATACTCAGGAGTGAACTTCTAATTTTAAAAGTCCTTTCTCCACTGTCCACTTTGTATCATCAAACACTTTGTAGGACTTTTGAGCAATGAGGCTTGCTTTTTGTTGAAAGGTTCAATATCACACTGTGCCTTTTAAATCAGAAAGTATATTTACCTGGTGCACATATTCATCCATGCTAGATGGCATGTCAAAATTCACAACCAGCTTAATATTGACAAGGTCAAGTCCACGCCCAAGGACTCCAGTGCTTACTATAACTTCATATTCCCCTTGCAATAATCCCTACCACAAGGGAAATATAAACATTATTTTCATCAATAGAAATATACTTTTCAAAATTACAAAGACGTCAGCAAAAATTCTGAATACATTTCAAAGAACACAAAAACAACAGCTGAACAATAAAGAAGCACCTATGTAATTTAATAAAGCTGAAAGCATTTTCCTCACAAGACATTTCCTATGAACTTAAATTCCCAAATCTGATTCCATCGCTGCTTTAGCCAACACAATGGATCTTGAGATATATTTTGCGATATGAAAAATAACTTTCATCTAAAAGGAAACTCACTAAGAGGTCAATCTCAAATCTCAAACTCTCTACCTCAGGGGTCTTCAAACTTGGCCCTTTTACGACTTGTGGACTTCAACTCCCAAAATTCCTCAGCCAGCGTGCTTGGCTGAGGGATTTTGGGAGTTGAAGTCCACAAGTCGTAAAAGGGCCAAGTTTGAAGACCCCTGCTCTACCTAATAGCTATGTGCTGTATCTAGTTCTCAATTATTTTGGTCTTAAGACCCCTCTATATTCTTAAAAATGACTGAGTACCCCAAAGAGCTTAGTTTATATGGGTTGCAGCTACTGTATCGATATTTACTGTATTAGAAATTAAAACATAGAAATTTTGAAATATCTGACTTTGCGGAACTTCATAGGTCCTCATACATAACCTTGGGAACCTCTGGTTTAGAGTTCTTTAACCACAGATTTAGCTAGCTTCTAGATAGGCCCCAGATGTTTACAAACCTGTAAAATTGCAGTTCTTTCTGACTGTGATTTCTCAGCATGCATCGAGGTTGTCTGTAAACCTGTGATTTTATGAACAGCATTACTCAGAAGATCAGCACCCAACTTACATTCCACAAATACCAGTATTGGAGGCTTAAAGAGTTTCTTATCCTAAAAAGGGGGAACAGGGAGAATACAGTGAGCATAAGGTAAAAAATATTAATTTATGTACCAAAAAAAGATAAATGGAATAGTGTGAGATTTAGTGGTGGTAAATAAAGCAAAAGGACTAGCCAACTATTTTCCAATATTACTAAGCCAGAAGTAGTAATGTTTTGAATAGTTTTCGAATAGTAAAAAGAAGGCAAATATCAGCCATTATTTTCTATTACCATAGTTTTTTAAAAAGATTTTAACAGCATGAGGATTTAAGTAATCTGACCAAATCAAAAGAGCTGTTTAAATTCTCACAGCCCAAAGGTTTGGTGTTTTAGTTTCTTATCAAGGAAACATGCCACAATACAAACTATTTTAACACTCTTGTACAATATAGTGTGGCATGGTTTCTATTCGAACATAGCTAAAATGCCTTCGAGTATGCCCTAATTCTTTGGATATTAGTTGTTTCTTAATTTAAGCAACTTCCACCATCATAGGTTCAGACACACCCACCCACACACCCATATACATACACACACACGCATATATATACATATACATATATGAATGCATGCATGCAGTAAAATGCAAGTCCACATAACCAATAAGATTCATACTATCAACATTTCAATGGAAAAGCTGCCCAAGAGGAATAAATTTATGGTTTAAATGGTTATATTTCCAAGAACAGAACTGATTATAGCAAGGGTTCTAGCTCATTTTTCCCCAATTATCTATGGTCGATAAAAAGAAGCGAAGACTTGTGTTCCCATGAGGATACTAACGTTTAATATTTCAAAAAGCTTTTTCTTTTTGGAAGGCTCTTCTATCCACAAAATAATCTGGCGAACATTGGAGCATGGCAGATTCTTTTCTCCAACTGTTATTTTCACTGGATTCTGCAGAAGTCGGCTTGCCAGCTGTTCAATGCTTAAAGGCACTGTGGCTGACACCAAGATGGTTTGATGATCATTGGGAATATTTTCCAAAATTTCTAACACCTGCTGCTGGAAGCCCATCTTTAGCATGGTGTCAACCTATTGTTTAAAAAAGAAATGGATTAACTAGTGTTTGTTTTATTCTTAAGATACGTGAAAACATTATTTTACATTCATTATCAACATCTATCTGGAATTTCAGATCAGCGCTTCCCAAACTTAACGACTTCACTATGGCATGAACTTCATCTCCCAGCAATAATCATGCCAGCTGATGGTTCTGAATGTTGATGCCCATATAGAGAGAAAGTGCACTCTTTTAGATAGTGGTTGTAATGAAGGAAAAAAAGTATTACAGTAATGCTTCTTTGAGTAACAAAGACAACCTGGTTAAGAAGTACATATTCCCAGAATCTCAAATTATGTCTCTTTTCTGGCCACTGCTTCTGTCAACAATAACAGTCCAGCATGATAGAAAGTTGTTTGAAATTTGGCCTATTTCAATGACCAAAGTAGGTGAAAGGAAACACTTTTACATACTCAGCTGCCTTTTTGCCAAGTACAAGAAAATCTTCAGCTATAATTTATAACTGCTGTAACATATCTTTAAAAGTTGGCAGATGAAAAAGTCTTGAGATACTACAAGATAACATTTTATACTAAGTTAACCCAAACTTGCTAAAAATCTAATTATGCATAAACTACAGTATTAAAATTGTAATGTTTTGCCGACTGTGGTTTACAGTGCTTAGTTACCACACAAAAAAGGAGTCATTTATTCTCCCCCCTCAAAATAGAAGAGCCATTACACTAGTGACATATTTTTTTGAGCAATAATATACACTTACCTCATCAACAACAGCAATTTTAATATTATGAAGTTGAATAGAGGATTGCTTTAAAATTTCTCGGAGCCTTCCAGGTGTAGCTATGATCACCTAAAATAAGAGGCAGGAAATACAAATAATAGAAAATAAATAAATTCATTGTTATTACAAATTCCAACAAACATATTAAATCAAATGCGCAAGGTGAGAAAATATTTACATTTGAAAAACAGGATTTTTCACGGCACATGAAACATAAAATTACTTAGATTTGCTTGGAGATGGATGCACTGGTTCTGCGGAAGTAGTTGAAACATGGATTGATGTAGTTATCTGGGGAAAGTTTGATTCTATTAGCCTGGAGAAAAATTCCTTGGACCTCTGTGTCTACCAGTATTTGAGATCTATGCCCTTCTTGGTTGGTATATGGCTGCATCCAAAAGTGAATATTTTAAGAGAAAGAGTGATCCTGCCTGAATTTAAGAAGGTTGAAGAATGACTGAAGAAGACATTTGTGGTCAAAACTGTGCTGGATAACTTCTGGCCTGTCTTCATTTTCATTTTAAAGAAAGGTTGTTAAGAAGGGTGTCATGCTGTAGTTCAAAAGGCCTAGCATTGATCACATTTGTTACTGACCTAGGTAAACTCAGGTGGAAATGTTATATCCATCCTGGCTCTCCTGAATCTTTCAGAAGCCTTCAATACTAGTGACCAGGGTATTTTTATGGACGAGTTCAGGGGGCTGGAAATGGAGAAGAAATTTAATCCAAGGCTCTTACTTTGTGGGGGTAGCTGGTGCAGTTTACAGAGTACAGGCATTATCAATGCACATATGCACATATCAATGCACATACAGAACTACTATGCTGCTGATTTCTGGGCCAGCTGAAGCTTCTGAGTAAGTACTAAGGGCAGACCCATGCAGAACACATATTGCAGTAATCCAATCACTAGGAGATTAAACTATGAATAACTTTGAGGAAAACCTCCAGATCCAGGAATGGGTACAATTAGTATACAAGATGGAGCTGTGCAAGGGCCTTCAAGCCACAGCTGTTACTTACTCTTTGAGCAAGAACTGTGAGTCCTACAAATAACCCCATTGCTGTCAGCAATGTTAGAGGGCAAATACCACAAAAAATCTCTATGCTAAAAGGCTTTGTCTTTGTAAAGATGGAAGCAATGAATCATGAACTACCTCTTGCTTTACTGTAACTTTTATAATCTCACAATACTGCATTTTGTTTTATGAAGTTTGTTACTCCTAACAAAGTTTTAATTAACTTGCTGAGCAAATGAATAAGAAGAAAAAAGTTTATTTTCTTTTTCCTTTATGGTCCAGTTTTGAAAATAATTATCTGCTATTCTGGAACTTGCCAATAAAATAGAGGCACCCTTTCAATCAAGTTCTCTGACTTTTACCATTCTGAACGTAAACTGCATCAAATGCTCGTTCAAATCTTAAGGATATAACATAATGTGATTTACCTTAACGTTTTGCTTCAGCCGATGAAGCTGGGGTGGTAAAGGCAATCCTCCAACCAGAAGAACGGTTCTCATATTTGGTAGACCAATCATGAGCTCTTTAGCTTGCTTCTCTATCTGTATAGCTAATTCTCTTGTTGGTGTCAGAATAAGAGCAGACAAAGTCTCTGTCTTAAAAAGCATAAAAACAAATAACAGGTTACTGATTTTTCCTTTAGTTAAAAATTTCAGAAAAATAAAATGCGAGAGGGGTTAATTTATATCAAACAAACCCAACGCCATCACTACATCCATGGTTAATCTAGTGATGTCAGTAATTATACCATCTATAACAGGGATCTTCAAACTTGGCCCCTTTATGACTTGTGGACTTCAACTCCCAGAATTCCTCAGCCAGGCACGCTGGCTGAGGAATTCTGGGAGTTGAAGTCCACAAGTCATAAAAGGGTCAAGTCTGAAGACCCCTGATGTATAACATATTGCAGCGGTATACACCAATAAACCAATATTCTGCCTTTAGTGAAGAAGTGAGAGCAAGTGGAAGGAAAGGAGTCATTTGAACATGGGAAGGAAGATTTGCTTATGCTTTCATTACAATGATTATGCTTTTTTAAAAAAAACCAGTCTTCAGAAGTATTTATATTTCAATTACCCAGATATAAATTTCTTCCACAGCTGATATCACAAATTTAATCACATATTTTAAATGAAGTAACAGAAAGACAAAAACCTAAACTGAAAAAGAGCTTAGATGTATGGTTTCTCTGGCAAACAACAACAATGTTTGAGATCTAATGCAGAATTTCTCAAAAGGATAATGCTTTGGAATGGTCTGAACAATTCTTCTCAACAAACATGGATCCTGTCAACGAACAAAAGTTACCTCTTCGGAAGCTTTAATTATAACAGGAAGGAGGAAAGCTGCAGTTTTTCCTGAGCCGGTGTCAGCGGTTGCCAAAATATCCCTGCCCTGTAACCCAACTGGAATCATCTGCATCTGGACAGGGGTTGGGACTTCATAGCCTGTTTTTTTTAGATTGCTGCTGAGAATTTCTGGGAAGCCACAATGTTCAAACTCAACAATGGGTCTTGCAACTCCTTGCCCTTCAACAGCTATGCCAAGCTGCTGTTTTAAACTTTCGATCTGCTCATCCTCAAGGCTTAACAGGAATTCATTCTCTTCATACACATAAGCAACACCAGGCTGAGAAATGGCTTGTTCACTCTTAGTAGGCTTTAAGCTTTCCTCCTCCCCTTTGAATTGTAGAAGGTGCTTGGCTTTACATTCCAAACTACATACATCTTCATCAGTCTTGTCACAGATGTACTCCCCATACCGACCACAGACCACACATACAGGTTCCCCGGATTGTGGCCAGCGCTGAATTTTACTGAAAGATTTTATGGGTTCTTCTGCATCACAAGAGTCCTCATTGTTTTCTGACTCTGATTCAGAAAGGGCCAGAGTTGAATCTAAAAATGTCTGTGGTGCAGTGTCTCCTTCTACTGATTTCAATGAGTCAGTCTCAACAGTTGCTGCATCTACTTTGTTGGACTCTTTGGGTTCTGTAGAGTTTTCAGATGCAAATTCATTGGGGGAGGGTTTGTTTTTCTTAGCGACACAGCACTCCTCATCAATCACATTCCTCTTGACTTTGAGAGATCTCGGAACAAACATTCTTCAAGAACCTATCATGAAAATATACAATCATTAGAACTGGCAATCTTCTGACAAATTAATATTTCCATATGATTCAGCAAGGGCAACAGGAAACTCAAAGAAACAGATTGTTCTCCATTTATACAGGAGCAAGTTTATTTGAATTGGAATAAAGTAAGTTGTGGTTAGAGTCTATTAATTTTACCACATGTTAGAGCAGGGCTCCTCAACCTTGGCAACTTTAAGACTTGTGGACTTCAACTCCCAGAATTTGCTGGCTGAGGAATTCTGGAAGTTGAAGTCCACAAGTCTTAAAGCTGCCAAGGTTGAGGACCCCTGTGTTAGAGTTATTTAAACCTGGAATTCATGGAACATTTTACAGCATTTAAATAACAGAAAAGTAGCATAGTAATGAGTTAATCTTGCAAGTAAAACCTGCTAATTTCTACGAATTGGTTTTTTTTTTTAACCAAATCCATCTATAAATATTTTTCTGATAATGGAAGCAATGAGCATAATTTTGAATTGGTTTTTTTGTTGATGTTTGTTATGGAGCTATGAAGGGCTGCAAAGGCTCCAGTTTCAACACAGAGAAATAAAATATAACTCTGGGAATTTTGCTGCGATAGCTATTTAACTAGCAGAGGCTGAGGTGATAGGAAAGAACATTGTGTTCCTCCATTGCTTTCTGGACACTGCTCATAGTACAGTTTAAATGACTGAGGCAAACATTTATTTATAAATTAATAATATAATCTCTGCCTCAGAATCTAAAATTAACGTTGTTTCTTAAAGCAACTCATTACTGTACCAAATCAGCAATATTGTCCTTCAAATACAAAGCACTCATTGCTTGGAAGCAATACAGTTGTAACCCAGGTCATTTTGACTAAAGATAAAATAATATCATTTATATCAGTGGCTAGTAAAAACTGAGGCCTCACTTTTTACCTACTTTTTTTTTTCAGCTCCAAGCCTCACTCTGGTACTTCCTCCACTCCCCACATTACATGCATCAAAAAGTTGTCCTGAATTATATATTACCTTAATGTCAGTTTATCCTCATTGAGTTTCTGAAATAGGATTTACAAGTTGAGTGACTAAATCAAGCATATCCTCATGTTAACTCAAATATTCTCTTTTGCTTCACTGTTTCTATGAAATTAAAAAAGAAAATCCCAAATGTTCACCCAGGCTGAACTTTTCCAGCCTTTATTATGTATCCTCTCGAACCAACACAGAATAAACAAACAATGATCTTTGTTAAAACTAAATTTTTGCTGATTCCATGTTTTCAGATGGAGAAAAGATGGGAAAGGTTGTCTGCACCTTTAACTTTGTCCTTTACTAAAGTTACTTGATAACAGTTGTTTTTAAACAGATTCTGTGTGGCAATTAATATCCCCCTTGCAATTCCTATAAAGATGTTTCCATGAAAAATGAGGAAATAACTAGCATTAAAATCATAAAGGCCCAAAAGACTTCTAAATAAGACCCACTACTTCATCAATTAATCAATTTTAAGTCAGTCTATCACAGTTATCATAGAACATAAGTTTTGATTTACAAAATGCTCAGGAAAAAGACAAAAGGTTGCCTTAATGTACTTTACAGATATGTGATAAATGCAGTTGTGAATTAAAACAGGACAGGCAGATTTAGGCCTTATTTTTATTCTTATTTTAATCCAACCCAAGCTCTACTTATCAGAGCCAGGTTCATGGACCAATAGGGTTAAACCTAAATGTAAAACGAAATTAAATGTGTTGAAATGTCTGAAAAGAGAGATTCTAAAAATAATAAAAATCAGCGGAAGCCCTGGTACCCTATTCTGTGCACCATATTTGATTAATGTATTAATCAAAAATGTAACGTGTAACTCTCGAAGACACTAGGAGAGCTGCACCCAGATCAGGGTCAAGGCAACAAAACGGCAAAGCAGTCATGCCAAAACATAAGCAACTACTAGGAGAAGGCCACTCAAGATTTAGTTTTAATTTAAAACTAACTCCTCTCTCCGGCCAGGGGTTCCCAACCTTGGCAACTTTAAGACTTGTGGACTTCAACTCCCAGAATTCCTCAGCCAGCAAAGCTGGCTGAGGAATTCTGGGAGTTGAAGTCCACAAGTCTTAAAGTTGCCAAGGTTGAGAACCCCTGCGAGTCTAACCGGTCAAAAATCGTTGCCAACTTACTGCAAATCAGCCCATAGATCTGTGATCAATGTATCTCAAGCGATTCTTCCATAGGATCCGATACTCTCTAGCTGCACATCCCCGCAGACAGATAAATATCTCGACCCGAAAGGATAAGTGGCGGTCCAATGCAAAAAGGCAGCATGCAAGCAAAAGGCGGCGATTTGCAACAACAGCGACCGACAGACCCGGTTTCCCGTGGGAAGCGATTCAGCCTTCCTCAATCACCCTACCCCAAAATCCGTCCTCCAGCGGGCAAGAGACCGAGATCTTTACGCTTCCCAACCCTGACTGCCGTTCTAGCCGTCGTCACGGCGCCTCGGATTCTCCGAAGCGGAAAAGGGGCTGGCCTTCATTTCCGGTTCATCTTGGAAACGCGGGCTGCGTTGTGAGCAACGGCAGGGCGTTGCGGACACGTCTGAATAAAACGCGAAGGCATACTTTTAAGTAGACTAAGGTTTTCCTTTAGGACCCACCTGATGCAAACAAAAGCGAGCTTTGTTCTGTGGAGAAGCTCGGGTTTTTTCCCCGAAGCAGCTCAGAAGTGGCTGGTGCTGCATGAAATGGAAAGACCGCTTGGTGGCGATAGAAGATTGAAGTTTACTCGTCTGTTGCTCCCTCTAGTGATGGTTTGAAGTTTTGCAACCCGGGCATAATATTCCTAACAAAGGGGAAAAAAGAGGACAAAGCCGTTGTTGGCTCCGATCACCCCTTTCATAAGCATTGGAAAGCTATGTGTAATTTAATGAAAAGAAGGATGAGGGGGTGACATGATAGTAGTGTTCCAATATCTCAGAGCTTGCCACAAAAAAGAGGAAGTCAAGCTATTCTCCAAAGCACCTGAAGGCAAGACAAGAAGCAATGGATGGAAACTAACCAAAGAGAGAAGCAACCTAGAACTAAGGAGAAATTTCCTGACAATTAGAACAATTAATCAGTGGAATAGCCTGCCTCCAGAAGTTGTGAATGCTCCAACACTGGAAGTTTTTAAGAAGAGATTGGACAACCATTTGTCTGAAATAATATATGGTCTCCTGCTTGTGCAGGGGAATAGACTAGAAGACCTCCGAGGTCTCTTCCAACTCTACTATTCTGTTATTATTCTGTTATTATCATTAAAGCATATACTTCCCACCACCACCATGCACAAATCACACATAAATGTTTGTAACTGCTGTCAGCTGTCTTCACATCCAAAGGGACAAGGCCTGGTTTGTCAGGATAATGGAGACAGTCCTTTCAAAGAACATTAGTTTTTCAGGGTAGCCTTATTTCAACTTTAAAAAAAAAGAGGTTGGCTAGACAGTTGGCAGGATAAATATGTTTTTTATCCCTTAAGCCACTCAGGAATTCAGTAAATGAACCAATTGGTTTTTATTTTATTTTTTGTTTGTAAAAACAAATCCCTTCCCTTCCAGATCCTGTTATTTCATTCTATTACTCATGTCACAAATTGTTCCCCACTGCAATGTGACATTTAGTTTTCTGCAGTCCCCTAGGGACCCTCAATGCTCCTTTGTTCCCCTAAATAACAGAATAACAGAATTGGAAGGGACCTTGGAGGTCTTCTAATCCAAGCCCCTGCACAAGCAGGAGACCCTCTTATCACTAATGTACACAAGCAGATTGATCCCCTAAGGTAGGTTTGCATGCAATTTAATTTTACCCCCATATTCCATTTCCACTGTCACTTTTCAATTGTTTATAGAGCCCTGCCTCTTTCATGAGGAAAACAGAAGGAGCTTCACTCAGTAAATAAGACAAGGTGACAGAGACATATGTGGTAGACAGACTTCAAACAACAGGAAAAGAAAGTAATACATTTCAAAGATTTTTTTCCCTTTTTCAAACAAAAAAGAATGCAAAGCATATATTGCATTGGGTCTAAATGGGACAGACTGATTAATTTGGTTTTAAAATCTATTGGTCTTTCCAGTCAATGGCCTGGATTCAAACTTTGTCTAAGTTGTGCCACTAAAAGCAGTGAGTTCTGTTAGATTCAGTCCTGTTGATTTCAATGGGGCAATCTACTTCAAGATCTACCCTAAACACAGTCAAGTGTGCTTCAACCCCTGACTTTAGAAAGCAAACAACCGACTATTAAGCTGCTCAACAGTGCTGAAGGGCTTAGTGGAGGTTGTATAACAAGAAGTAATCCACACCACAAAATCTATGGCTTCCATACAAAAAATCACAATTAGGCAGCTTTAGTGATTGGTTTGGTAGCTTCCTAGAGACATTTGTGTGGCATGAGTGTAGGTCACAATGGTGCAGGAGCAGGTGCCCTTTGATAGGACGATAAGGGAGGCAGGTCATCTCCTTGGGCTTTATGACTTCATCCCTGCAAGCTAAAGTATCAGTTACTTTCAGTTACCAGTTATCAGAGCGACGATGCCTTCCTTGAGGTCAGTTGCTCTTCAGTAGGGCTCCTGGACTCTGGGGAAGCTTCCCTCCTTTTGTAGCCAAGTCTCAGAGGGGTAAGTGAGGGTGAGAGTTTGGGTTAGGTTTAGGGTGGGAGTGAGAGGGTTAGGCCGGGGAAAGATGAGAGTGAGAGTGAAAGGGGGAGGGACAGGCTGAGAGGGAGGGTGAGGTTGAGAGTCAGGACCAGGATCAGGGGGAGGAGAACAGGAAGGATATTTTGGTATGGGGAATGGGAGGAAGAAAAGGTCAAAAGAGAGGAGAGGAGCAGGGAAGGGGGAAAGGGAGAAGGAGACAAAAAGGCGGAGTAGGATGGGTAGGACAGGGGAGGGAGAGAGAGGAGGGGGACAGGACGGGAAGGGAGGGGAGGGGATGAAGAAGGGAAAGGAGAGGAGGATGAAGAAGTGGAGCGGACCCAGTAGGAGAGGGGAGGGAAGTGGGACAGGACAGGGAGAGAAGGGAAAGTATGCATAAATAGGCAGGAGGGAATTATAATGCCTTTATGACTTCATCCATGCAGATTATTATCAGAGGTAAGGGAGAGGGAGGGGAGGAGGAGAGGGAGAGGCAAGAGGGGGAGGGGGATAAGGAAAGGGTGAGGGATGAAGAGGTAGAATGAGCTGGGGCGGAGTAGCAAGGGGAGGGGAGCGGGAGGGGATAGAGAGAATGGCAGGTAGAGACAAAGGGGGGGGAAGGAATTATAATGTCTTTAAGACTCCATCCATGCAGAGGTAATGGAGACGGGAGGGAGAGGGAGGATGGAGGGAATGGGGATGAGAGGGGGAGAGGCAGGAAAGGCAGGGGGATAGGTAGGAAGAGAGGAAGGGGAGAAAAAGGTACAGTAGGCCAGGGAAAAGATCAAGGGGAGGGGAGGGAGGGGAGAGGGGGAAGGGAATGGGACAAGGAGAAGGATGGGTAGAAACATATGGAGGGGGGAATTTAAATGTTTTCATGATTTCATCCATGAAGATTATCAGAGGGAAGGGAGAGGAAGGGAGAGTGAGGGAAATGGAGAAGAGAGGGACAGAGGCAGGAGAGAGAGGGGGATAGGTAGGAAGGGGAAGGGGACAACGATGGAGTGGGACAGGGAGGAAATACATCTCTCCTGCAAACCTTGAGAGTTTTGCAAAACTTTTTAATAATTTGGGTTTTTTTTTAGATTTGTGCCACTTGGACGACATAAGTATTCAGACTCAGGAAGGATAATCTGAACACCATAAAGACCATTCAATTTATTACTGCATAAGACTGGACTGTGGTCTATTGACTTGTATGATGATGATGTCCTATCTCAACATAGAAATGGTCTTGCCCGTTGTTTTGTTGATCACATGATTTAAGTGGTTGTTGCTATATGTGTATTGTATTTTAGTAAACCCTAACAAACAAGAAATTAGTTCTTGTTGATTGTTTGATTATATAGCTTTCATGGAACATGCAGAATTGGTTTCCTATTGCTACTTTCTTCTTCTTCTTCTTGTGCCATATCCGTTATCGGATGTTGGCAATCATGCTGGCGATCCTGTTTTTATCAGCAGCCACACGAAAAAGTGCTGCTGAGTTTTGTCCAAACCAGTCCCTTAGATTTTGAAGCTACCTTCTAGGATATTCCAAATTCCCAGTTTTGTCTGTAAGTCTGGGATTTCTTGATGGAAATATTAATAACTAATACTAAGCAGATCTGATCATGTTTGGCTGCTTGTCAACTAGGTGCCACCCCCCAATTCTAAACTAATATTCCCTACTTAAATTTTATTTTTAAGTGAATAGACAACCTATTTAGCAGGTGCTGTTTTTGATTGCCTAAATCGAAAAAAGCCTGTGAAAATAGAACATATTCCTTCTGCACCATTTTTAGCAATTGTATCTCAGATCAATCTGTCCTGCTGTCAAGTTTCAGTGCTAAGAGCTGACTATTGCACTTCCTAGATGTCTCCAAGCATTTAAAGAACAGTTTTCCTTCCCATTTAGTCCTTGAATGCCCTCTACTCCTTTGTACGCTGCAATCTTCATTCAAGAGCAGTCCAGATAAAGCTATACATACATGATTATTTGTCTTCTTATGAATTCTAATTGTAATAATAATAGAGGGGAGGGACTACATAGAGTCTAATGGCTGAATCCTGTGAAATGGTGGAATTATACTAATATGCAACTTTCTAACATAGAATTCTTCAACTTAGACCTGATTTCTGTACAGATCAAATGTTTAAATACAATTCTTGCTGGCCTGGAAAGCTAGTTATTACCTTATGTGGTTCATGCATGTGGGGAAATAGGCTGGCTGTTGCCTAGGAAACCCACACTTCTTGTAATGAGTCAGTTAAAGGTGCTACTGCACTCTATATATTTTTAATCCATGTTTCTATCTTGAGTTGTTGAACAGCAGCAGCCTCTAAACAAACTGTACACCTTTCTCCATCCTCCAGTTTCTTATCTTGAAGAAGCATATGGTTCTAACTTAATATGAAGCAAGCCAATAGGCAAACTTTCCTAGATATAGCAACATTCTAAATTTAAATATTTTGCATATGTTACACAGTGATGGCTGTATGTGAGGTGTCATGCTTAATGTTTGTTTGATATTCCCTTAACTACAATTGTTCATTCAGTCTGTGGAGAATGTCTTTTTCAATGCTATGCCTTTAAATGAAATTACCTAGAATATTGGAAGTTACATTACATTGCTTAATCTATGATTATAGTATTCCTCATAGTGAATAAACAAAGTTGGTTGGATTCACATACAAAAATTGGCTGAATTCATACAGCCTCCTACAGTGTATAACTTTTGCTATTCATTTAATATCTAGTGCAA